TTTCGTCCTTCCAACAACAAAATCAGCAATATCTATAATATATGTGTAATAATCTTTTTCTCACAAAGTTGGCATAATTTGAAATATTATCCTTTGAAGTGATGAATCAAAAAATTAACAATTAAAATAATTTCTTTAATTTGCACCATTCATGTGAAACATAAGCAGACACGCTTAAACTTTCTAAACAAGCAAAGTTTTAAAATGTAACGAAATTATCGCCGGCATGTGTTACACTTTCTTTTGCTATTCTTTTAAAACAAAAAGTGGTAAACTAAAATTTTAATTAATTCAGAGAGCAGGTGAAAAAATGGAAATCGGCGATTTATGTAGAGTTAAGGAGACACACCAGCAACGCAACAAAAAAGATTCCAAAAGCTGCGGCTTATGATATTAATAAAGAAAAGTTTAAGTTTAAAAGCTTTATGAGATGGATCGGATGTCTGAGGATACATTATTTCTTTTGGCATCTCAATTTCATACATATAAGTATGTCGTTCTGTGCAAGAAACAAGCTTTAATGCAATAATACATCTTTATCTAAATATTAAGAATTGCACAGTGATATAAGGAGACACATTATCAAAATCTCAAGTGCGTTAGAATCGACCAGTTAATTTTTTTACCGTTTTCAACCAATTTAGTGATGAAAAAGCCAAAAGCAATTCAATTACAGCCAAAACGAAGGCGTGCTCGTGAAAATTCATTTTAAGGGTGAAAAACTTAAACAATAAAAAGTTTTTGTTTATTCTCGCCTAATGAATGCAGAGGCAGCGCCCTTACCGCCACTAAGAACTGCGGTGCATATTGTAAATGCTGTACAAATATATATGCTTATATAATATTAGTATACATACATATATATAATATAATATATAATATATGTTAGTGCATTAGTGAAAAATTAAGGGAATTTCGAGCTGTCGCTGCCTGTGCAAGTGAAACGGAAGTAATTTCGAAAGCAAAACCGGAAAAATGGGAAAACAGCAAACAAAGTGAATATAAAAGAATAATAAGTGAAGCGCCGAAAAATGCACAATACAAACGATGAAAGCAAAAATAAAACAATAGAATTCTGCAGGGACAACCGTTTCATGATAGCAACCTTTTTTTTCAATTCTTTTTCCACATTTAGCATACTTTCCGGCGTCTATAAAGGGCAGACGGTCAGTTTAGTACCTTTCACAAACAATTTGGGCATAAAAGTTTGAGTGGAAAATACTCTTAAATCCATAAATAAAATAATACTTCTATAATTAATGGTTTTTATAGGTTAAGTTGAAAACCGAAAATGATACCAACCCACGGTTTAAATTTTGTTTTAAAAACTAACTATATGAATGTCCTTGTTAAAGATATTTTAAAAAGCGGATTACATAAGGAAAAAATTTGCCACATCAATCAAATTTTTGATGGTTAAAAACTTTAATGTAATTAAAACAATATAAAATTTTTGCTACACACACAAATAAACTAGGCGAGGAACACAAATCACGCCGAAATTTACGCTTAAAATTTTACAAATCTGCAAGAAGATTCGAAGCGATTCATCGATGAAAACTATTTACTCCTTAAAAAGTAATGAGTTCTTTATGGCCAATACTTTAGTTAAAAAGGTCTGAATTCTTTAAGCATTACAAATATATAATTAATATATTATATTATATACCCAACATTATATTTTTCATTATAGCAGGATAAAATTCTTAGGCATACATGTTTTATTTTAGTATATATTACACATATACTCGTATGTGCGAGTGCATAATGGCGCACATTTCAAGAATAAGTACCCCTCGGTTTTATTATATATTCAGTATTACACGAATATGTTAAATTTACATGCACCGTTTCAATATGTTTGAAGGTTTAATGACTAACATAATTTCCACATTGCGTACTACCCCTCTACCAAATTTCCTCTCAGATCTCAAGATGTGCCCCCAAATTAGCACGCGTTTGCAGTAAGTCGCTCATAGTAACAGGTATCTGACTTTATGATAAAATGTTGTTTATACTTTTCCCAAACTTCATATTCGCTTACTTATTTAACGCGTTCAGTAAATTCTTGTATGTATGTATGTATGTGTGAAGACATGTCGTCAAGGTGCTTATGACATTCCTTGTTATTGTGACAAGCGACTGGTACTCTGCACTCGAGCAATGTAGCGCCGTCACTGTCAAATTGTTGTTGACAAGCGTCATTGTCATCTGAGTTGCTACAAACTGTCTTTAATAAAGGAAACCGTGACAGACGCGCTGAGAACTTGGTGCCATCTTCATATGATGAGTGCTGTTAAATGAAATCTTGACTCGCTGTCAATCTTATACGCTGAATTAATATGGCTTAAGATTTTCACAATAATTTCATCTGCACTTAGAAATATATTACACATACATATACATATATGTATACATACAAGAATGTATGTAAGCACTTATTGCCTAAAGAAAATACGCTCGTTTAAGAGAAAACAGTTAAAGGCAGAACATACCATAGTTTTATGTTATCTTGTTTTTGTCCAATTTCGTGTACGACTTTACAACAACAACAAATGAACTGCGTAGCAATTTCAATTTGCAAATAACTATTGGCAAAATTAGATTGTCCCGCATCACAGGCTTATCTAAAGAGCCGTTTGCGTTCACATGAATATTTACGGCACAATTCGCAGATCGCTGTAGCCGTAGGCAGTAGTTTAAATTGGGTTGTAGCTTTGCGTTAGACTGTTTTGGCACAGTCTCATTTCGTATGTGTGTTACACTCATTTGAAATTGCACAATGTATACAGTAGAGAGTAAAGCAACCCAGTAGAATGCGTGGAACACTAAAAAGTCTCTTTAGAATTTATCGAGATTTCAATAGCAGTAAACTCTACAATTATTCTCATTATTACTATCTTGCCTATGGCCCCTTTGGGTTGGTAAAAAACAATAATTTTAAACAAATCAAATTAAATATTTCCTGATGGGTGTCACACAAGTCAATTTGCCACAAGTGTTGAACCCTTTTTGATGAATCCCAGAATGTTGAGAATGCAAATATTTTATCTGATAACAGCTAGAAGGCCACCCATTCCATAGATATTTATACCCTGAACAGGGTATATTAAGTTTGTCAAGAATTTGTAACACCTAGAAGGAAACGTCGGAGACCCTATAAAATATAAGGTTGTCATATATCTCCCTTCCGCTTTTTTGTTCTTCATTAAATGCTTTATAAAAAGTGTTATAGTGATCGGATTTATTTAAAATATGCGCCGTTTTGTTCGATGATCTGTTTCCATTTAGACGGCAACTTCATAATACCTTCCTCGTAGAAGCCCCCCTCCTTATTTGCGAAGAATTCGGACAGCCACTTTTCACAAGCCTCTTTTGAGTGCAACTTCACACCACCAAGGGCATTCGCCATGGACAGGAACAGGTGGTAATCACTTGGCGCTACGTCCGGGCTATATGGTGGATGCGATAAAACCTCCCATCCGAGCTCCCGTAGCTTCTGACGAGTCATCAACGAAGTGTGTGGTCTGGCGTTGTCCTGGTGGAACACTACACCCTTCCTGTTGGCCAATTCTGGACGCTTCTGGTCGATCGCCTGCTTCAAGCGGTCCAGTTGTTCGCAGTAGATGGTAGAATTAAGCGTCTGGCCATATGGGAGCAGCTCATAGTGGATGATTCCCTTCCAATCCCACCAAACACACAGCAAAACCTTCCTGGCCGTCAATCCCGGCTTGGCCACTGTTTGGGACGATTCACCGGCCTTCGACCACGACCGTTTTCGCTTGATATTGTCGTATGTGATCCATTTTTCGTCGCCAGTCACCATCCGCTTCAAGAATGGGACGAGTTCGTTCCGTTTCAGCAGCATATCGCAGGCGTTGATTCGGTCCAGAAGGTTTTTTTGCGTCAAATTATGCGGCACCCAAACATCAAACTTTTTTTTGTATCCAGCCTTCTGCAGATGGTTCAAAATAGTTTGGTGACTAACTCCCATCTCCTGGGCGATGTCACGAGATGCCATAAGCTGGTCTAACTCGATGTATTCCATGATTTGATCGGTATTTGCCGTCACAGGTCTTCCGCCGGCTGGCTTATCCATGGTGTCGTTTTCACCGGCTCTGAATCGTCGAAACCATTCCTCCGCGGTTCGAAGTAATAGAGTACCATCCCCCAAAACACCATTAATCTCACGGAATGTTTCTCTAGCGGATTTGCCTTTAACGAAGGAAAACTTTAAAATAGCGCGAATTTCGGCGTTAGTGAACTCCATGTTTACACGTCTATAACTGTTGAACGCAATATCCAAACTAATCATGCATAGCGTTGTTTTGTAGGTTATGTCACGGCCTTTCAAATTATGTATAGTGTTGCCAGATACGAGCTCTGTAGCGCTTTGTACATAGCCGCGAAATTCAAAAGACAAAAAAGCGGAAGGGAGATATTTGACAACCTTATATATACATAAATGATGAGCATGATCAGCTGAGTTGATTTAGCTCTGTCCATCTGTCCGTCCGCCTATGTACACGAACGAGTTCCTCAGTTTTTAAGCTACCAATCTGAAATATAGCATATAGCTGCCATACAAAGTGGACAAGCGGAATCTAGTGCTTGTATGCGAAACTTTTTTATTTAACGAGGTATCTTCACGAAATATATGAAAATACATACTGAGCGATCGGAATAAAGTTCTTGTAAGGAGCCTTTGTATTTGTGAAGGTTATTGTAGCTTTGGGACAACTGAAGTTAACGTTTTTCTTATTTTAATTAAAAATATAATAAAAGATTTACTGCTATTATCAGACATTTTCAATGGAATTTATATGAGTTGATATACCACAGGTATTTAAATTCATTTGTATACTTGTTGTAAGAATACAAACCATGGCAAATGCACGCTTGTATATAGATTACCATCATTAAGCGTATGTGTTTATTTATAATTATATTCTTTTAAATCGTTACTCTATTAAATACATAATAATAATAAATAAACTAACCTGCATAAAATAACGGCAGCATGTTGAAGATGATGACGAGTGAGAAAAGAGCACGTGACAAAGCTTGCAGGTCGGCCACTGCAAGCACAAGCTTCGAACGCACAGTGCAACGCAGCGTAGATAGAATTGTGCCGCAACCGCCACCGAAGTCAGCATCAGCTGCAGCTTTTTCCAAATAGAGTTCGTTCGCAACATCCGCCTTGTAGTAGCATTTGCTATTTTTGTTGGTTTTGTATTGAAATATACTTCGGTGTTCATTTGTGGTTTTTGCTGCTGTTTTGGATTTTGTTGCAGTGGTTGTTGTTGCTTGTGGTTGTTGGTGTAGCTGAGGTGCAGCATTGTAAGCGAGCGAGCAGCAGTTTTCGATAAGCAGCTGTGAAAGTTCTTGGTTGGAGCCGTTTGATAGACCGCTGAGTTGTAGTTGTTGTTGCTGTTCGATAGCATTTCTGGAAGATTGGCGTGTACATGACGAAACGATATGCAGGTTGCAGCAGCAATCGTATTCCCCAGCTGCATGGCAGCCCGTGGCAACGTTGTGTGTTTCACTTTGTTTCGTTTCGCTTGATTGGCAGCATTTGGTTTTCTTGTTTTTGTTGTTATGTTTCTCCTTTGTTTGTGTACTGTGCTTGTAAGCAATGGCTTGTGACCGCTGTCGAGCGCAATTCCCTGCAGATGTTTTGCGTAAACTTGCAATAGCACCAACAACAATGCCAGTGGCACCCCTCCACAGATGTTGTTGTTGCTTGTTGGCGTTAGACGCGGCTGCACTTGACATATTTGCAATACCTTTGACTCTTGTCCATTCACACGGCAATGCTTCGCCTCTGTTTTCCGAATGCCAACGGTTTCGCTGTTGCTGCTGTTCCTGTTGTTGTTGTTGTTGAGGTCTCTGAGGGCGTTTTGCTTGCAAGTCAACGCTTTCACTTTTGCTTCTGCCTCGCCTGCCACTGTACACGCAACGAAACGTATGAACATCATCTGCAGCTTCGTGTGACTTCTGATTCGGCGACAGCGTCGGGTGTGTTGGGTTTGAGCTTGGTCGCTTCGTGGCAGCTGTTGGTTTCCATGGCGTTGGCGTTTCAAAACAATTATATCCCCCTTTGTTAACTCCTTTTGCAATACTCGCATGCAATGCCCGTAGCTTGGTCCTGTGCAGTTTACGATCGACCGTCGGCTCTTGAAGTGACGTCGTGACCGCGTTGCTGTGACCCCGAATATTCTCGACTGTTGCAATGGCCGGCAGACAATACGACAACAATGCCGTCGATATTGCTTTAGATACCTTTGTTGTTGTTGTATTTTTACTAACTGCTGCTGCTGACGACTTCTCTGCAAATTGTTTCCGCTCGTTAGTGATGAGACATGTCTCTGGTGTGCCGGAAGTTTTTCGCTCGTAACAATGTTGCTCAATTGTTGTTGCTGTTTTTTCGAATGCCGCTGTTTTAGTTCTAGTGTTACTGTAGTATTGTAATATATGTGCTGAGGCCATGTTGTGCCCTATTCACCGACGACATCGATGACATCAAACCGGAAAAAGATAGAGAAAACAGAACTTCATTAAAGGGTATATAAATAACGATATCATAAAATTTAATTTTAAATGGATTGGAAAGTAATATATATCATAAAGGTTAATACGAGTTTAAGCTAAATGCAAAATAGCAAATCGATTTGATACAATTATATTTTTTTTTCCTTTAGAGGCAAATCTTTATTAAAGCGATAGCGTTCAAATTTAATAAAACTCGTCTTGAAACTAGCCATCGTATGAAACTTAGAATAATGTTCTTACTTTTTACTACATTTGAAAGAGGAAATAGGAAAACATTTGCTTTACAATTTCCTATTTTAGCTGCAATTCTTCTGTAACTTCCCATTTCGACCTTTTTACAAGCACATCACAAAAGGTTTTATTTACCCTTTAACACCTCTGAATCGTTGACATTACACGGTCGGTTAAATTTTTCTTTGAGCCAATAAATGAATGAACTCAATATATTGCTTTAAGTTTAAAAATCTATTTTCAATGTGTGAGTTCAACATTTTTTATTTGAGATTTTAATCTATTTTCACATCGTTATTCTTTTTTTGTCCTTCTCATTTTAGTTTCCCTTTCCTTCCGCACTTGTCGTTACAAGCTTTTCGCTATGAGAATGTATTGTGCATAAATAAAACCCATAGAAGTGTAAGCATATATGTTTTGCAAATATATTAAACTCTATGTCTCTTTGGAGAGTGGAATTTTTCAGATGACCTTTTCGTTGAGTAGTATGAGTAACATTTAAAAAAAAAATATTAGACTTAATATATATTAAAGAGCTTCTAAAGTGGTATGTTATATAAACTACGACGAACTGGCGACTCATAAAGACGTATATTATATGTATTGTATATTTTATGTTACTCCAGTTCTGATCTAAAAAAAATTATTCTTACGAGCAAAAAGGCAAAATATAGGTCAAACCTTTAACAACCACTAGACGGCTCTAATTTACTTAACGACTAACCTATACCTGTATATTGATCAAATTGGCGACCTATAGACTTCTTTGAATTGAATTCGCGTATAAAAATTAAAGCATTTTACCATAGAAGAAACCAGATGCGCTAAAATAACTATTTTTTTATGGTTTTTGTGGTTTAGTAAGTTGTATTCGAACAGCAATGAAATTATTTCTTACATATTTATTAAATAACAAAGCTCACTAAAACCCTGTCATTCTATAAAAGTTTAAATACAGTAACCTTAAAACGTTTGAAAGCGTTTTAATAAAAAAGCTAAAAAGCTTTCAAAGCGCTTTACAAGCTTAATAGCTTCTCGAAGCTTAATAGTGTGACTAAGCTTAAATTGTAAAAGCTCTGGCAGTATTTAAGAAAAAGCTTCACTTATTAGGCTTGATGAGTACTTTTATACATTAGGGTGTGTGCATGAAACGAATACACCGCGCGAAACCTTAAAAGTAACTCATTGTTATGTCAGCACAAATAGTGCTTGGTTAACAGAAATAGATGTAACTGTATAGAGTCTGTTATGTGCTTTTTAATGTTATTATTTATATTAAGGCGCCGATTATTTTGCCAATTGTGTCCTCACGTCTAGTTATAATGTATAAAATATAATTAATGATCGTTTTATGTAAAACCTAAAACTACAGCCGGATGAGTCTCCGTCCGTTCGCTGTCAATATATATGAACTGGGTTAATAAATATTCTCACCTCCTAAATTGCAGTTATGATTTAAACTACTGAATATAACACAAATCTCGAAAAGATATACGTTTTCATTTAAAAAATTTGGTAATTAGCGTCCCACGAAGACGATCTTATCTATGCAGACTTCTACTATAATGTCAATGATTAGATTTTAAAATATATAGTGAGCTATGTTTTTGATTAGAATGAAACTCCCCACCATAAATATTTTGTATATTATACCACATTTGAAGTCTTTCTAGCTTTAGATTTTTGATGCCTACCCAAACTTAAAGTGTTTTAAAGCCGATTCAGATATGTGAAAAATATAATTCAATATTTGTTAGTAATTTTTCTTAATTATTCAAACCACATATGTGATTATTTGGCATTTAAAACGTCTACAACTATTAATCTAACATACTACAGACACAAATACTTGACATGTTAATTGATTTTAAATCCTACTACAATAGTTTTGGTCAACTACGAAGAACTGATAGATTTAAATTTCATGTGAAAACAGTTCAATTCAATGCAATCCGCAAGTCAAACTACTTATATTATCTATACTACCTTCTCATACAACTGATAAAGAGAGACAAATGGTAATTCATCGTCGCATGCTACCAACATTCCTACAACTATTGTAGTTGCATTATCCTGACGTATTTTCCAATTAAATCGGCACATATATCCTTCATACAAGCATACATATTTCTTCATATCTGTGTAATCAAAATGCAGGTGAAGTGCCCAGTGGTAAATGGCAACAACACCACCGACAAGCGGCAACCGCCACAATATGTCCAGTTGGCATGTAAAGCTGTTTGTTTGGGTGTGTCAGTGCGGATGAGTGACTTGAGTTGCAACTACAGGCGGCGACAGTGTTGTCTCGCCCTGTTTTCGTCGCCGTCGGTTAATCGCATCAAGCATGCAAATGAGATCCGTTCATCAGAGTGCGCTTTTAATTATTTAACTGGCATACAAACGAGCATACGCAGACAGACGCACGCCAGTGCTTGGCACAGCAATTAGGTCAACTGTTTACCTACACGCAGGTATTCTACCGCAGCCGTTTGCAGTGTCCACCCAGCTGATAGTCACACATTCGCAGTTAGCGTGTCTGCTATCAATTGCCATACTTGTAGTGAGCGTGTTGAGTCTACATACGAGTATGTCCCCATGTTTGAAGAACATCAAACTGTTTACAAAGGAGAAACTTGGTTTGTGGAACCAATGAACGGTGATTACTTATTTTTTATTGGTTAAAAAATTAACTTATATTCATAGGTCATGTATCCCAATAAAGTTTTTGTTGTTATCATCTAGTGATGGAAGAAATTTTTGGAACCACTAAGAATTATCTACATCATATCCAACCAATCTAAGATTTAAACAATAATTTTAGAAATATTTTGAAATGAAGTGACTGACAGACAAAAATGGGAATTTTAGGGAATTAAAAAAAAAATGTTTATCAATTATTTTAATTGTTTGTCAAAGGTAACATAAGTTAGAAAAACTGCAATTTTAAAAAATGAATGAATGTATTTTTTCGAAACTTTTGCCAAAAAATTGTAACTACAGTTTACATCTACGCGCTTTTAATTAAATGTGAATTTTTGCTTACTTTGCACTCGATTTACCCCTAAGGCAAGTTTCCACTTCTTTCTATTCACTATATATATACAAGAACATCCGTTGGCGGACAGTCACAAGTTTTAGCATAGCGGTTTCTGGATTTTACTTATATGTTATATTCATATGAATATGAAGTAGGTACCCCACTTTCGGCGCTGTTGCCAACGGCAGTGGTGGATAATATGGACCATTGCAATAGCGGTTTCACTGCATAAATCAACCGCAGCAACATGACACAATAGCGAGGCAGCAAAAGCGCAGAAGTGGAGCACACAAAGCTGCTAGATAGTGTAAGCCAAAAGCGGCCAAAGGAGGGTTTGCAAGTGTTGCAACACCATAAAAGTATTTTTGTATGTATGCAAATGGTGTGTGTGCACCATAAACAAATGAATAGGCAGAGATTTTGCCCTGCTGTTGCCAGTTGGCTCCGCCGAAATTTCTTTGTGCTACTTTTGGCATTCTGCCGAATTCCATGCCTTATTATTTAATATATAGGTATACGCTTTTTACTGCTACTCTGAGTTGAGCGTGAAGTATGCTATTTGAATTAAATTTGCTTAAATTTACTGATTAAATACAGATTTTTTCTGAAATGGAAGAACATTTTTTTGAATGTCTCCCAAACTATAATTATTAATATTTTCAAAAGTGAATTCATCTTCCTGCGATTTATATAATATATAACATACATATATATATATATATATACCATCGTTATATCAAAGTAATAATCTAGCTTGAATTTTTTTTAATTTTTAACTTTCTGTTAATAATGCTTTGTGAACTCAATATCACTTTTCTTTAACTTTTTTGTAATCGGCAAAATATTCTGTACATAATTAGCACAGTAAGCTATATAATACTTCATATATGTAAGCTTATTTGTTTTTTACGAGTATTTTTTTTTGTAAAACGGCTTTTTTTGATCGGCTTCCATTCAGTTTTTTCGCGATGCACTTTTTGAGGCATTAAATATGAAGTATATTTTCACTCGTCTGTTTCTCTCAATTAAAGCCAATTAAATACTTCAGCATATGGCAATTAGCTCTTGAAGATTAACGCTTAATGTTTGCTAAATACGTAAAAATTATACAAACTGTGGGAAGGTATTTACTAGTAGAAAACATTCTGACGTTTCTTTCTTTTATAAAAGTTCATGAAGTATGTATGGTGTGTCCAGGATAGAGATACATACTTGTACCTCCTACTGTACGTCCTCGCGAAGTTCGAACCAATTCAGCCATAAAAACTGTTCGGGAACGCATTCGCAGAAATCTTTTAAAAAACAGAAAATTATGTCAAAAAAAATAATAAATATAAATAATATTTTTAAATCAAAATTATATTGACATAATGTTAGTGTCAGAAACTTAGTTCAAAAATTAAATTTATTTACAAATAAAAAATTATGGTATATTCGCCTATAATCAGCTAAAACACTATGATCAATTTTAAGCAACGAAAATATTCTGCTTTATCGCAATATATAGTACTCAACCCGCCTATTCAAATTTCAGCCGAACTGCATTATGTAGTTGAAGGTTTCCCAAACTTAATTCAAGAAGCAGCTTTTGCTGCTACTGGCCTCATAACTTAATTCATGTATGCAGAGAATACAGCATTAATTCCGTTTAAAAGACGTATACGAAAAAAATGACAAACCAGTAGAAATCCAATTGACAAAACTAATATAAATATGACAAAATGACCTAAAAAAGAAATGTACCTATTAAAGACAGTAATAATGTTTAGTGTAGAACAGAAAAAAGTAAAGCAAATGCGTACGATAAATACATCGAAGAAACGTTCAATGCTTTTAGTAACCGCGATATCAACAATAGTGCTGAAATATAATATTAGAATTTCTTAACACACCAACTGTCAACTGTCTTTATCAATAAAACATATTACGCCCGCGGAAATACTTGCTGAAATCGAGAAATTGTCTAACCAGAAATCTCCAGGAAATGACAGAAAGCATTCGATAAAGTTTGGCAACATGGTCTATTATTTAAATTTAAAAAAAATATTCTACTCTCAAGTTAATTTAGTTCTAAAGTAATAGTTGACTCATAGGTCATTTTATGCAAACATAAATGACGACAAGTCTGAAATAAGTTACATTAATGCTAGAGTACCACAGGGCTTACACCATTTATACCTGTACAATACCTGAAACTGAAAAAGTTTTAATTGCAACTTTGCTGATGAGACTGCTTTATTGTCTTCAAGCCAGATTCCAGTTGAAGCAACTAATTTGGTACGAGAAAAATTGAACAAAATACAGACTTGTCTAGATTGCTGGTAAATGAAAGCAAACGTTTTATTTGCACTTAGGCGAAGCGACAGCCTAAAAGTGATAGCGATCTATACCTCGGCATGCACTTGGACAAACGGTTAAGACGGACACAGCATATACAAGCCAAAAATAAACAATTAAAAATAAAAGCTAAACTTTATTGGCTACATTTACATTAATAGCCGTTACATCTTGAAAATAAATTGCTACTGTAAAAGCCATACTTAAACCTATATTAACACACGGTGTGCAGATTTGGGGCACTGCTAGTAATTCAAATATTGAAATTTTACAAAGATATCAATTATTAATTACAAACGCCCCTCTCCTCCTATGATATATTGTATATTATTATTGAACTCACAAAAAAGCAAATGGATATGTCGACAAGATCACCGACATGAAAGCCTACTGGTCTTCTTCTGGTAACGCGATTAGAGCAATTTGACTCAACAGATGCAATAAGCTTTTTCAATTGCACGTGGTCAACAGCCATGAAAGAGAAAAAAATTTTACTTTTTACAGAGGAAAAAAATTTCAATATTGAAGAAGTATTTAATACGCAAAACAACAACAACTACGCAAAAAACTTCCAAAGAAGCACACAATGTTATTCTAAGGGTTCAAAATAGTCACTATCTAGCTGCTGTAATAGTTTCGTGGGGAGTCTCCTATAAAGCGGAGGTGGAACTCTTTAATTCTGTGAAAAACGGGTTAAAACTGGGTCAAAAGTGTATCAGCAGGATTTTTCTATTTTAGTGACTACAAGATAGTAAAAAACGCGTAATGACACAAACGGATCGCAGCTATTTACTTTTAAATGCTGGATGTAATAATAAGGAACCAGAGTTGAGATTCAATACAACAGAGCCTCCAGCCAATGGATATTAAAACACATTTTGGTGATATCATGGTTATAAAATACGTTGTCGTCATAAATATTAAATACTATTTCATCATTTGTGTTCATGCTTTATTTCCGCAATAACACACAATACGAATCTCACCACTTCTTTACGACAATGTCCTTCCCATTTATCGAAGAAACAACCGAGCGAACTTTACACACCGGGCATCAGAATACTATAATAAGATAGACATTTTAACTGATTAGTGTGAAAAAAGTAATGAAAATTAAACTTAACGGTTTTTTTTTTAGAATGACTTCTAAACTATGTGCTTGTTGTTTTAAATAACATGGAAGCATCATTATTAATATATTATACAAAGCTTTATTGAGCGAATTTTATGTTTAGCATATCGTAAATGTTATGATTATAAACTTACCATATCGTCTCCATTAGAACGTTAGGGTGCAACACTTCCTAATCACCGGTTTTAAGGATCTGAAAAATTAGGAAAAAAATTTATATTAATGAAAGTAACATAGTTTTAAATAAAAATCACTTTGAATTCATTGCAATCATTTAAATTTTCTTGTAATGAATATAACAGTAATACTCTGCTCTGGCGCACTCATTAATATGCACAAACTTAAAGTATGAATTACCTAGGTAATTTTACTATTCGTGCTTACAATGCACATAATTGATTAAAATTAAAATTCAAAATTCAGCTTTCAGCTTTCGACTATCAAAGCAGCATTCACCAACCAACCATCCACCACAACGAGACCTCAAGAAACACTTTCACCGTTAAAGGAAGTGCATTTTGCGAAAATTCATTGCTGTTGTTATTGCATTTATTATGAGTGTTTGTGCTAAACTAGCGAAATTGCCGGCACAAAGTCGCCAATGTACTCGTAAAATTCCCTAAACGTTGTTAGCCAAGCGTATAATATACAAATTTCTACCACCAGCACCATCAACTGCCCACTACCCCGAAAATCTCCGCTTCACCTGTATTTTGTTCAGGTAGTTTTTGGAGAGCGTGCGCTAGAGAGGATATTAAACAGCCATTATCCTTTTAGCAAGCGCCACTTACAAAAACAAAATGTGAAAAAAATCGCTAAGTTGCTTTGCTTCAAAGTTTTCACAAAAAGTTTGGTTGTAGTTGCTGCATTTATTGCCCAAGGAGGCCAGAACTTTTAATGTATGTGTGTATGTGTGTGTATGCATAATGTGTTGAAAGGCAGCAAATGTACGCGTTAAGCGCTACAGAAGGATGGGAGGAGAAGAGAGGTGGCGCTGACTGCAAGGCTTTTTCGGAGGAATCTGCAAGAAAGTTAGCAAGTGGCATTTTGTCTGTCATTTCGAGCGGAAGCCACTCCATGCCACAGACATTTCAGTAGTGAAATTTCTATATGCATCTACAGATGCAAAAACATATACACACATCTCATACATGTAAGCATGTTTTAGCAACGGAAAACGTCACTGCATTTGATATAAGACCTCCTCGCGTTTACAATCAGTTGCAAATTAATGCTCTCGAAAGTTGTCAACTTTTGCATACTGTACGATACTGGTGGGTGTTGGCTTAATGTTGCAAATATTTTCCAAGCGACGACGTTTCGAGGAAGAGCTCAAATCGATGCTGTAATCATCTTGATTTTTTAAGAGATTTGAGTTGTTCGACGTTCGTTCTGTCGGTTAACATCGAGGCCTATACCACAAACATGACCTTAAATATTATCATTATTAGTATATACTGAATCTAAATACAATTGTTTAGTAGCTGAATAATGCTTTCGCCATTATTGTCTATACAGCTATAGCCGCCGTTACATTATGTAAATACTTTAATGCACAAATTTTTCTTTTTGACCTTCTGCAAAATTTTCACGTATAGAGCAAATTTATCTTCTATAAATGCATATTTTTCAAATCCAACGTCCAGCCGCATGCGGCAAAGACATTACAAGCTTCTCAGTGCAACGGTAGACCACCGTATATATCACCTTTTTAAGGTACACCACAAACCAAATCCCATCACAATTTATCATTTTCTGAAATTTAATATGCAAGAGCTTAGTTTTGTTTGCATGCAAATCCCTTAGCGGTGTAAGAAAGTTGCAACTGCATAATGTAGCATGTGTTCAAGAGGCACCCTGCAGGAAAAATTCAACCACCAATTGATTTTTATACATTTTTAAACCCTATTTAATTAAAGAAATACAAAAAAAACGTTAACTTAGGTTGCACCGAATATATAATGATACTAATAATTTTATATAGATTCCATACAAAAAGTTTATTTTTATCGGTAAGTTTGCATGACAGCTATAGTAGTCCGATCTGGAGCCTTGGGCTGTAATCCATGCCAAATTACGTAAAGATATCTTGTCCAATAAAAAAGTTTTGCATACAAGAACTTGATTTTGATCGTTCAGTTTGTATGACAGCAATATGATATAGCGGTTGGATCTGGAAAATTATAGTGCGGCTTTGAACAATAATAAGTGCCGAATTTCGTGAAGATATCATATTAAACAAAACATGTTTCCATACAATAAAGGCTATAGTAGTCCAATATCAGCGGTTCCGAAGCTTCTTGGAGTGAAAAGGGCGTCTGCAAAATTTCAAATCGATATATCAAAAACTGAGGGACAGACGGACCGTTTATATATATATACAATATAATTTAATATACGAGTATTAAATAATTTTTCAAAAATAAATTTTAATTCTGAGAATTATTTGATAACTAAAAGAAATAGCTTTGGAAAATTCATCTAAGAGTATAAGAAGTTAGAAATTTTTAAACAAAATTATGTAGATTGCATCCTTTTTAAATGTCCCCCGTCGCGTTTTGAAGAGTTATAGACAGAGCAAAAAATATACAAAAGGTCTTTTTACGCCGAGGTTGGAGTACCCATAAAGAAAGGTCGGAAACCTTACAATAGCATATAGCTGACGTACAAACTGACTGATCAAAATCAAGAAAGAAATATTTTTCTACCCTTTCATGCTGGAATGCACCTGTGGAGTGTATTATAATTGCGGTGCAGTCAAGGTTAACGTTTTTTCTTGTTTCACTTTTTATACGAAGGAGAAAGGGTTGGCTATCATGTGATCTTAGCTGTGGTGTTCCATGTTTTTTCGCTCACTTTATTTAATATATCTGTTTCGTTAATAGCTCCTTAGTGGTTTCAAACAGTTAATGTATTTATTTAAACAGTTTATGAATTAAGTCGAAGCAAGTTTTGCAAACTTAAAATTCTTTGTCTTTTGAGCAAAATATTAGCGAAATGTGAGTTGCGTTCACATATCAATTATTTTTACATTAAAAAGTATTTTTGTTACCTTCAACAATGCATCGGTTTCCCATAGTCCACCCATCTTATAAAACAAGAGTAAATAATAATCAGACAAAAAATTGCAATTGGGTTATTTATAAATGCCGAAAAAACAAAAAAAAATTAAAACTGGGCTACTATCATTTATTACTAACACAATTTTTATCGTTTGGAACGTTTTCAGAGATAACTGTAATTTACTTTTTTGAACACATGCCAAAGTAATCATAAAACTGTGCAGCCGCATTCAGTGGCACTGTTTCGCCGCAATTGTTGTACTTGTTACTTTTCATCGCAGTTGATTTTGGTGTTGTTGGTGCTGTTGATGCCACTGTCATCTTTTCATTTTCATTTAGTTTCGAGTTTTTAGTCCATTGCTTTTGCTGCACTTCCCATTGCTGCTGTTGTGTTTTGCTGACATTCCTGCGCCATTTTTGATGCAATGCAGCAAATTGCTTTTCACTCATCCGCTTTATAAGCGCAAAGGAAACAAAAGAATTGTAACAAGCTCTATCTGTGTGTCTGCCAATTAACCTACATGCATATAAATGTTGCTAAAAACATATTGTTTATATTAAATGAAATTTAACAGTTGGTGGTTTGAAGGGGTCATACTTTGGCCACTGATCAAAGAACACATTTTCGTATTTCTAGTCAAACAAAAAGCTTCAAAATAGCTGCGCTTTGAGTTTTTTATTGTTTCTTTGTCATTATGTATTGAACTGAATTTTCAACTTTTGTGTTTTTTTAGTAAAAAAAAATTACTTTTGATACTCTGTATTTCTAAACATTAGTCTTTTTCGCTTAGAAAATTTTGAGAATGGTTATCAAGTCATAGTGTAAAGCCAAATGTTTAATAAAACAAAGATCATCTGCAAAAAAAAATATATATTTTCTTTATTTCTCATTCCATTTATAACGCTGTTGTATAAAATTACTAAGCGAATGGTTCTGGGCATGACAAAAATCCGTCGTAGATAAATTCGGATACTTAGGACTGTTTCCAACAATTTAATTTATTTTAAATATTTGCAGTAAGTACTACTCTGGAGTTTTCGACGAACAAAACTAACTTAACATCGCGATGGTCCTTTAAGAGGTTACATACTTGTACACTTACTAACTATAAAATATTACTTTTTTTTGCTTACATATCGAAAAAACATATACTTAAAAGTATTCTCCGAAAGTTTTAAATTGATTTGGCAAATAGTTTCAAATATATGAGCATATTTGTTAGAATTTTTGGACTTAGTAGTGTAATCGGTTTAAAAACACGTTAACGTGTGTTTCTCGAAGCGCTGTTTTCAGAGTCGGTGAAGAAAGCTACTCCGAAACGACTGGACCAATTGGTTTGAAATTTTTACACGACCTTCTAGATATATTGTTCAAGTAATAAGAGAAGGAATACAATTTTTTATAACAATCCTTTTTTTTTGGTTTTGGGTTTCAGATAATTGTAAACAGAAAAGTCTTCCTCACCCCCAGACCTTTCTCGGAGGTATAGATTGGGCCACCGAAGCAAAGGAATCCAAATGATTACCGATTATTAAAGTACATTAAATTCTGTAAATACACATTATTTTTTATTTATTTATTAAATAAAATGCCTCAAAAACATTCATAAAAAATTGCTGGCTTCCAAGTGGATATAACATATACTTCGAAAAATGGATGTCTGGAATTGCTGACTTTTATGAAGAAATCATAAAACATTTAGATTGGTTCTATAAATATTCAAAAGCAAGTATTTGAACTTAGCATGCATGAATATAACACTTTACTACATATATACTACGTAGATGCGGTTGCTATCAAGCATCAAACTGGAAATACATTCCCAAAGGAAATGCAAATGCAATAAATTGTATTGTTTTATGTTAGGCTGTTTCTTGCGTCGCAATCAATCAAAATGTTTATGCATTTTATATTCGTCCTCGCTGAAAACCGCTCCGTCATCCAACCCTTTTCTTGCTTACGGAAAATGCAACGAAGAGGAAGCGGATAAATGTTTCACGTCTCAAGAGATACAATTTTTTCACCATATTTGTTAAGAGGGTTAAGCCACCAGGGATATAATATGATTGCATCATGTGCCATCGATGCAATTTGTGGCGCCCTACATAAAAATATTACATTCGAGTTTCGAATTTCATTATACAAGATGACTATAATTGATAAGAATAAAATATCGAACCCATTCATTAAAAATAAATAAGTATTCCTATCTAAAACTATAAGAAGAACTTTCCATTAAGATTCAGCGTACTTAAGTCTGTTTTCGGGCCTTTGTTATTAATCACACTCGAATGAAATGCATTGCTTAGTAATCCACAGACATTTTTACGCCGTTATTTATGGGTTGTTACACCCAAAGTAGTAATTTATGCATGTAGCGTGCGACATGTTCCTTAATAAATAAAAAACAGCGACAACAACAACTTGTTGGTGTTCAGTGACATTGTGCAACAGCAGCAACCATATACTTGTAGTAACAGCAACAGCAATAATAGCGGCAGCCGTGACAGCTTTCAATAATGCACATAACTAAGCTATTTACGGCTTGCGCCTGTCCTTTGCATTGATGCATCGATTTGCATCGGAGAATCGATGGCAGCAAGGGGCACTCACTCAGCAAGTGTCGCAGAGACCTTACCAAAGGCGAAGGCAACTAAATACGTACATAAATATTTACGAGCGCATTTGCATGTATCTATCGACGCTAGAGTACTCTGCATTTGACATATTGTCTCTTGTGTTGCCACCATCGCTGGCGCTGCCTTTTCGAGTGCATCCCTTAAGTGTGCTTTGCATGCGATAAATTGATTTATGGACGTAGCATTAGCATCCACACACACACTTACGCTTCCATTTAAGTGATTAACATAACAAATTGTAATGTGCTCAGTTTTAGAACTTAAGAGCTTAAACTGGTATCAATAAGTACTATTGTTAAGCACAAGAAGTAAATGTTGTAGATACCGCTATTTTATTTCATAAAAAAATCAAGTCAAAAAGGAAGAAATTTTAATACCCTGAGATCAAACAGCTGAGTTATAGCTTGATTATAACCACTGCAGTTGAGGACAGAAATTTATAACAATGAAAGGCAAACTTGATTCGTAAACTTCGCATTACTTCTTGTTAAAATATTATTATATTTTGATTTGGTAGTAAATGTGGTTGAAATGTACTAAGTAAGTCGAAATTCTGGAACCCTTTGGCTTCTATGGGATACCATCTGATCAAATTTAACTCGGGCGTGTCAATGCTAGACTAGTAGCAAAAGGCCTGAACCTACGTTCATCGAATGCATTACTACTGATGAAGAGACGTAGGTTTATGAATATGACGCTGAAGCCACTGAAGGCCATCAAAGTTAAAGCTTATTATAAGTGTATGGAAAATTTGATTCGGCGTTGGTATGCTTCTATTGGTTCAAAAAGAGCCTTTTTTGAAGGCGCTAATAAAGGTTTGTAATAAAATAGGTGACATTTTTTTCGATTTTTTTGTCAGTCATGGTCAAATATAATCAGATGGTTATATAGGTATTTCGTCAAAATGCTCAGATCAGTTAAAGTGTTGCCACCTCTTATATGTAAAGAAAATCCTTGCAATATCGTGATCGAGACAGCGACGAAACAACATCGTCCATGGTCATGCCGCTAATTAAAATATGCCCTGCACGAAATTTTTTGTCATTATGAATGCTTTATGGTATAATGAGTTACATTTTATGCTTCACTTAAAGACAATAAAATGAAAATTTTAGTGGTCTAATATATTTATTTAAATTATACAGTATATAAAAAAAATCAGGAAGCATGAAATACTTGTTTAAACAAAGAATGAATAGAAGAAAAACGTTACCTTCGGTAGCACCGAAGCTATAATACCCTTCACAAATACAAAAGTTTCTTACAAGAACTTGATTCCAATCGTTTAGTTTGTATGGCAGCGATATATGATATAGTGATCGATCTGAACAATTTATTCGGAGATAACATAGTTGCTTTGAATAATAATCCATGCCAAATTTCGTGAAGATATTACGTCAAATAAGAAAGTTTTCCATTTCCATGCAAGCACTTTATCCGATTGTTTAGTTAATATTGCAGCTATATTCTATAGTTGTCCAATATCGACCGTTCCAACAAATGGGCATCTTCTTTGTAAAGAATGAACAGGTGTAAAATTTCAGATCTATAACTTGAAAACTGAGGGACATACAGACAGACGGACATGGCTAAGTCAACTCAGTTATCATGCTGATATATATATATATATATTTTTTATAGGGTCTTCGACGTTATCTTTTGGGTGTTACAAACTTCGTGGCAAGCTTAATATACCTTGTTTAGGGTATAAAGATGCACAAAATTTAAGGAAACAGAGTTCTCACTGGGTGACTTTAATTTCGTGCTCACCTACACAGTCGCAATTCCGCTCGTGCCGACAACTGCTTTATATTATATAGACAACTTAAAAAGGTGATCGAAGGATCGAACTGAACCCTTAAATACAATAATTATGAATATCGTTAGCAATGCACTGACGCTGAGGTTTTCTTCATTATCGGCTAATTTATTTTGACTACTTTACAAAAAAACAGTACGAATGAGTTAAGTGGCCAACGGAGAGCCAGCAAAATAAACAGTGTTATTAAGTAAATAACACCAAAGCCAAATACCACGAATCAAGGTTCGTAACATACAGTTGATACTCAAAGACTAAGGTACTCGCACACAGGTTACTAAGTAAAATCTTGTGTACTCGTATCAAATAAATTGTCTAAATCAATTCGTTTGTTATTATTTGTCATTTCGATTTTACCTCAGTGAAATACAGTTTTTCCAGATTTTCAAAATAAAACTTATGAGGAATCTTTGGATAACATTGGGCATTCTCATCAAACTAATAAGTATTGGTATGCATGCAAACAAGACATTTTCAAAGCGATTGGAGAGAAGATACTGATTTAAGTGACTTTTTCTTTTCTAAAAGTTGTTGCTGATGATTTCATTGCGATGGGCTATCCAGAGGCTTTGGCCTTCGAAGAGACCACAGCCCCAATACCAATAAAGCAAATCAAGCACATATTAAGGGCAATTATAGGGAAGTCCGCATCAGCTGGCGCAGAATTTTATGCACTAAAAATAAACAACATTTTCAAAATGCCAAAGTTGGCACTAGTGGTGACAGTGAAACTTAATAGCACAGCAGACTACTCAGTGCTGGGCACTATGGTGAAATACTCCGTTGAGGGTCGTGTTCCGGGTACAACACTGCGAAATATATTAAATTTTGAGAAGTCTTCAACAAATCTTGAATTTTATAAAACATCCAAGAACCCTGAAGTAAGATATTTGAAATAATAATTATAGATATTTGATTTTGAAAACACTGTACTTGTAGTATGAATATTTGAAGAAAATGCTGACTGCAGACAGAGCTCCCGGAATGGCAGAGATGGTGCCCGACCTGCAAAAACTTTTGAGCACAGATGTTATTGAGAAGCTAGGAGTCGACATTAAAGCGAAGAATTTTGTAGGCCTACACTTCTGGAACCAAAAAATTGCTTTAGACTTTTCCAAGCTGAGCGATGTGTTTACAAAACTAAAAGATTTGTGGAAGGAAAACTTCTTTTGCATTTTGACTTACGGTCCAGACTTGGAGACGTTGGAAACGGCTGGTCAGAATGTTAGCACTATAACAACAGTTGATCCAATGGATCATGTAAGTCATTGATTATTATTTCATGAAAATTAGTTACTCTTTAAAGAATTGGTTATCTCTTTGACAGAAACATTACAACATTTCACCACGCTACGACGAAAATTATGCAATAGTATTCAATATTATACTTTGGTTCATGGTTGCGTTCAGTTTCGCTTTATATGCAACTATTTTGGCTTTAATGCATATGGATCCCGGAAGGAACTCGATAATCTATCGAATGACCGCAACGCGTTCAAAGAAAGATTTATAAGTATAACAATAATAAAAATTATGTTCAATAAATAAATATTACTTTTTACATAACTGTTTTGTATCAATAATAAGGAAAACTAGTAGGTAGCACCTCTTAGGTGCGTTAAATAAAAAGTTTGCTAAATAATTCTTAGATTGAAACTTTAAAAACTAGCAACTGGATTTGAAGAAACGCGTAACTAATTTTGAACTATACTTTTAAAAACCAGACTCTGCTACTATCATCTCTATTCTTTGCTCGACTGATCAACAGGAACAGAATAATTGATTTATCTACTACAAACATACATTTTTGTTATTGCAAGTGCTACAGTAATCGAAGTGTCTGATTGTAATGAAAATTTCACTCACTGCAGCGAGTTTTAAGTAGAATTTGCTGCCTGACAGCATCGGAGAACTACAAAGGAAATCGCTTTCTTTCATTATCAGTAATTTCGTTAGTAGCAATTATATGTATGTAACATAGTATACTATGAGTCTTAATAGACAATGATACCAAGGACAATCGCATTTTAAAACAGAGAAAGAATAAAAGTTCGTGAGCATACAAGCATATCTTATTCAAGAGTTTTTCCTGTGTAACCTAATTAAAATTATCTTAATAAATGTGAAATTAACAATATTATAATAATAAATTGGATTAGCACGAATTCGAATTAATGTAATGGATACATGATTTACATTGCGTGGTAATTAGTGTAATTAATTTAAAGAGTAAAATGTTAATTCTTCGTATTTATATCAGTCTATTTTCAGATAATTCTTTACTTAAAAAATTCTGACAATCCAAATCAGTTTATCTTTAACTTTTTCCTAGTCATGAGAACTCTAATCTTTGATACTTTTCAGTTGACCTTTTTATAATTTCGCCATGCCATGTTGCTACAGAGAGTATAGAATGTGTAGTTGTATTCCCCCTAGTTTTATTTTTCTAACACCCAAAACTAACCAGGATAGTTATAGAATTATGATCAGAATAACGTGATAAGTTGAAAACCAAACGATCCAGACATTCTTCTATTACATTATGAAAATAGGCGAAATCGGTTCAGAACCACTTCTACTTCACATATGTATATCTCAAATTTAAATTCCCTCTGATTTTTCCAATTTACAATATGTAAATCCTTATCGAAACAACATTTTGCACAGATAGTGCTCTCAAGTTTCTCCATCTCATGTCCAAAAATTGTCGCAATTCAGGCCATAAGTTTTCAAGTTTGTGCAAACTTAAAACTTAATTCAAAATCACAATTTTAAAATTCTTAGCAATTTAATTTTTTCACTTTTCTATTTTTCTGCTTTCAATGGTCTTTAAAATCTTTTTTTATTTAACGCTTTCGGTGTTGTCATATTCATAAACACCGCACTTACGGGTCAAACTATAACTCATATTAATTCGATTTTATGCGCTAGCAATGCGACAAGCTATTTAGAAAACCGAAAGCGATAAATATACAAAACTACTATTATTATATACAAATGTAGTAAGTGCAAAAGAGCATAAAACCAAACAGAAACCAAACGTCGTTTTTCTCAAATATGCGTGAACAGAATTATGAGTATTTTCGTTCTTATGTGTGTTACCTTAGAACTATTTCCTACAACAATAACTAAAATCCTTTTTCGCCATTCAAACGAATGCGAACTTTTATTATTATCTAAATGTGCGAGAATATTGGAAACGCAGAAAGGCAACACACCAGAAAAAGCCCAGAATTATTAGCAACAACAAACTATAACTTTAATGAGACACACAACAGCGAACAGCGAAAACAGCTGCTTCACGCACACACACACACCAATACACATATTTTTAGCACCACCTAGGGCATACGACCATAAATGATAACAGCGCATAAAATCGCGCCGCAATGATTGCTCCACACACACTCGCACACGCAGACACACGCAGAATATAGACAAATATAGTTAAAAGCCAATTGTAAAGTTATGCTGCCACCGCCATAATGCCCACGTCTTCCCTTGCGAAGCTTACTCTGGCCTCGGTCACCACTTGCATGCTGACATGTCTGTCATTTGCAACCACTTGCCACGCCACTTTCAATAACACTTGTGCTGGCATGCTAGGCGTGCCAAGCATGGATAGGCAATGTTCGCGCGAGTGATGACAGCCGCTATTCTGCGATGACAATCCAAACCAAAAAGCTTAAGCAGCTCCAAAGGGCACTATATTGGGCGACCCTTCAATGCCGCTGCTCTTGTATATCGCTCTTTTAAAGTTTCTACTACTCGGCTCGCTCATCAGTTTGATTATTTCCCGTTACTCCTCGTCTTGTTTTCCTCGCTTGTTCCTATAGAAATCCATACATACTTATTTATGCACACGAATCTCTAAACAGATCTGCCTTGTTCTTATCAAAGCAATTTGATTCGAGTAGTAACACAAATTACCGTACATTTCCAATCGCGCCCTTACACTCACAGCCGCACGCACACATTTGCGCTATTTGTAAATACACTAGCAGCAGATATTTTGTTGGCAGGAGGCCTTAACTTCATACTTTCGATAGATGGCAGGACCAACTGAAAGCAGGAATGCCCGTACAGATGCACGTGTGAGTAAATAACAAATTTACGAAGAATAAATAGAAATAAGCGTAAAGAATAAAGTGCACAAAGTATTGACGAATAAAAAGATGAATGGAAAAGAGTCAAGCCTAGCCACAAAGCATGTGCATATAGAACTTACTCTGGTTTTACAAAAAAAGAGTGCCAGTTAAAGCGCATGCGCCGCTATCCAAAGAGATAGATTATATAAAAGAGTGGGTATCAAATTGAAGTGAAGACCAACCCTAATTGGCAGTAAAGTAAGAGAGATAAAACATATCGCATTTACAAAAAAAACATCAACGACGAAGGAAGCATAAATCAAGCTATGTACGAGTATATAACAAAAGACATAAGAACACATAAAGCTTGCTCAGATTCGGCTTTCTTTTTGCTCGCTTTTTTAATGGGTTTGCTAATCAGACATTGAGTAAAATTCTACGTACATTCGTTTAATATAGATATCAATTTACAACAAGATAATACACCGAATCTTCACTAATAAATATTTTAACAGATTTACTAGTATGTGAATAGAGATTTCATAAAGCACTAGAGGAAAGAGTCTTGTTTACAAAGATTCACCCTATCGGAAACAATTTACATCAGTTCGAAAGATAAGCACGCAAAAATCTTAGTCACATAATGTGACTAAAAATATTGAAATGAAATCAGTATTGATCCGAATTTGCAACACTGTTCATTTAATAATGAAAATAAATGCTTTAGTTGTATTTAAGTTTTTCACTATAGTAATTTTACTTTCAAATACTTATATGTTCAATAAAATTATTTATGTTTTGGGATTTTTTTGCAGACTTCGAAGCTTATTTTAAAAGATTGAGTGAAAACACCTCGAAGTTGAAATTCTAAGAATTTACATTTATTTTCCTAGTTTAATACCAATAGCGTAGGCTATTAATTTATCATATGAGTATTGTTATCGACGAATATATAAGTCAAACCGTCATCTAATGCAATAGAACAATGTTCGCTTTGATTTATTCAGTTGTGAATATTTTGTCAGAGTTCATTATGATTTGTTTACACTATGCATAGTACATGTACGAATTGTTGATATATGTATGTATGTGGCATTCTTTGTGTGTATCCAATGATAAATTAATGACATAACAGCTGAAATGCTCCTCTCCAAATAGCAAACTGCTCCCAAACACAATGAGTCCGACAGGCTACTTTTCTGCGCGAATAGCCAGCAGTCCAAGTGAGTTAGTCTGCTTGTCGCAGTGACGCATTGTTTCGTTACCGGACCTACGGCACTCATGGGAGCCGTTTTGCGGCTGGTCTCCATTTTCCTTTATTTAAATAGCAATTGTTTGTCTTTATGAGTTTTGTTTCCTTGAATTTTTTGTATTGTTTCGCACCAATTCTTGATTAAATCACTGGATACACGGCGTATGAGTAACATACATTTCAGTACTGAATAAACTCATGATCGGTTGTTCCTGTGCATGCTTCTCCAGCGACAGAAGTATTTGTTCCAAAATATAATTAAAATTTTATTGCTTTCGAGAGTTGGTCATCAATTTTCGTAAGTTCAAAACTCGCGCAAAAAATAAAATGAACAAGCAAGGAAGCGCTAAGCTTGAGCGTAAGCAAAGATTTTGTACTCTCGAAATTTGCAGGATTCAAAGCCGAGGAAATAATTTAAGATATTGGTATTGGTAATGGATTTAAATAAGGCATAGGCAATTTATTGATTGCACATACGGATGGACTGACAGACAGTCACCCGGATTTCATCATTTATATACAGGGTGGCGTACGAATCGTGCTACAAAAACGCACCGTAATAACTTTTTATGTGAGTAATCGATTTACTTCTTTCTTTATTTGGCAGGTTATTATTTAACTTTGTGTTTTAAAAATAGTGCTTGGAATACTGAAAATAGGGTTGTGATAGTGCAGCGGTACAATTCTTTGCAGTCCGCCATTTCCGTCCAAAGGGAATTCAGACGGGATTTGGGCGACATTTCCCCGAGTAAATGTACCATTATGAAATTAGTAAACATGTTGGAGGTATCGCAAGAAAACCGTACCATCGCCTACCGCATGTTCGTGTTCAAGAAACAATCGCGGCTGTTGCATCGTCAATTCAGGCGAATCCAAACAGTCGAAACAGGATAATTAATGATGACTTAAACTTGCTTCTGTACAAAGTTAAAAATAACAAGCCGATTAAGCCCTCTTGATTTGCCTATTCGCCTGCAGTTTTGCCAAAAAAAACTATTGAAATAGCCGAAGAAGACAATAACTTGAGAAAGTGCCTGGTTATCTCTGATTAGGCGATTTGATCTCAACGGAAATAATCCACGAGACGGAACTTCACCCAAAACGAGTGACTGTGTGGGGCGCAGTTTCATCAAGGTGTATTGTCGGGCCATACTTCTTTGAAGAAAACGGTGTAATAGTAACTGTCAATTGGCATCATTATTTAAAGATGTTGCATGAGATTTTTT